GTACTTGATGGACCAACCGAATCTGAATATGCGGCAGCGGAGATGGTTGCATGTGGTAAAGGATTATGATTGCAAGATCATGTACCACCCTAGGAAGGCCAATGTGGTGGCCGATGCTTTGAGCCTCAAGGTGGTGAGTTCTTCTATTAGAGATATCTGTTTGAGGATGGTTTCCATGTCACATTTGTTGGATTTGATCAAGAAGGCTCAGATGGAGGGATTGAAAAAGGATAATTGGAAGGCTGAGCGGATCAGAGGACAAATTCCCTTATTTTTTAGAGACAGTCAAGGTTTGTTGACTCAGTCCGGCAGAGTTTGGGCTCTGGTATCATGGGGGTGAGACAGACAGTTATGGAGGAAGCACATAAGTCAAAGTTTACTATCCATCCAGTGGCCACGAAGATGTACATGGATCTGAGATTGAGTTATTGGTGGCCATGTATGAAGAGGGAGATAGCTTGGTTCATTGAGCGGTTCTTGACTTGTAGGAAAGTCAAGGTCGAGCATCAGAGACCCCACGACAAGATGTAACCCTTACCCATTCCCATGTGGAAATGGGAAGAGATTACCATGGATTTCACCACAAAATTGTCAAAGACGGCACGTGGTGTTGATTATATATGGGTCATTGTTGATAGATTAACTAAGAGTGTGCATTTCATACTGATTGTTGATAGCATATCTGTAGAGAAGTTAGCTGACATCTACGTTCGGGAGGTGATAGTTCAGCACGGGTTGCCATTTTTGGTAGTTTCGAATTGAGATGTTCGTTTCACCTCCAGGTTTTGGAGGAAGTTCCATGAGGAGTTGGCTACTCAGTTGCATTTTAGTATAGCATACCATCCCCATATTTACGGAAAAAGCGAGCAAACGATTCAGACCTCGAAGACATGCTCCGGGCTTGTGTGCTAGATTTTGGAGGGAGTTAGGATACTTACCTTCCACTGGTAGAGTTCTCCTACAAAAACTATCATGCCAGTATCGACCGACCGCCATTTGAGATGTTGTATGGAAGAAGGTGCAGGACCCCGGTTTGTTGGGGGGAGGTCAGGCATCGAGTCATGGGAAATACATAGGTTGTAGTCAGGACTACTGGGTTGATTCAACAGGTGCGCGGCAGGTTGCGAGTCGCGCAAAGCCGGCAGAAGAGTTATGCAAATCGGTGACGTTCAGACCTCGAGTTTCAGGTAGGATACTTGGCGCGTCTGAATGTGTCACCTTGGAAATGTGTCATCCGATTTCGGAAGCGGGCAAGCTGGGGCCCAGATTCATTGGACTTTTCAAGATTTCGGCCCGGGTGGGCAACGTTGCATACCGGATGGATTTTCCCGATGAGCTCATCTAGATCCATAACACCTTCCATATGTCTCGGCTTCGGAAGTGTGTGGTCGATGAGTCCGCAATTGTTCCTATGGATGATATACAGGTTGATGATCGCCTGAATTATGTGGAGAGACCGGTGGCGATCTTAGATCGGAATACGAATGGACATTAGAGCATGAGGCAGATATGCGAGAGCACTACCCAGATTTATTCGCGGCAGCAGACTTCGAGGACGAAGTCTAGTTCAAGTGGGGGAGAGTTGTAACATCTAATTTCCATGTATTCACTTTTGACCCTCGAGCTAAGATTTGTTTTCAATATTGGTCCTCAATGGCGATTTCCTAATAGAGGGTGCAGCATGAGTACGTTGCGCATACACTTTGGTATGTTGGGCATACTTGTCCCCGTGCACGTACGTTGGGCGTACACATTGGTACGCAGGGCGTACGCAAATTGGACCCAACCCTAATAGTTAGGGTTTGTGCACTATATAATCACCATTATAGTCCCAAAACCCTTCCTCTTATCAGCCTCCATCCCAAAATCGATCCTCCTTGCAAACCTTAATCTATTTTGAGCATTTTGAGTTTTTGGAGTGAATAGTGGGTTTCTTGGTTGTGAAGATAGATCATCAAGGAAGTGGCTTTTCTCTCAAGACTTTGCATCCAACATTTTCTCTTCATTGTACATTTTGTGGAGGTAAAAAGCTTCAACCTTGATGTATATTTCTTATGGTTCTAGTTTTAGCTCAAAGTCGTCACCTTTTTGTCCCAAATTTGATCTTTGTAAGTAGGAGTTACTCCAAGACGTTTGAGTTGTCTTTTTAGAGGTTTTAGGGTGTGCTAAGTCATAAAAATGTGTTATTGGTCATTAGTTTCTCTCCAAGCATGAGCTAGATTGTCATTATGAGTAAAGAAGCTAGGGTTTTTGGAGTTAAGGTCTTAATAGCCATGTTAAACCATAAACTTGAAAACTTTATGGTTAAGGACATCCTTTTGAGCCTAGATCTAGATTTTGGACGTAAATGCTTAAGGATTAAGCACTTAATGGGTAAGGTGGTGAGCAGCCGCATACGTTGGGCGTACCAAGGGGTACGTTGCGCTTATGTGGTCAGCTCCCCGATCCTTGGTTAATCGCGTAGTACGCCCCACTTACGTAAGGAGTACGCCTCACGTACTCACTGAGTCAACTCGGTTGACTCAGTTGACTTTGACCTGGACTTTTACTAGGGTTTGACATAGGGGTATTTTAGGTATTTTGACCTATTTGTTGAGATTGTGTGGTTGGATTTATTAAGGTGATTGGTAGCATTGATCTTAGAGCGGCATGCTATTCAGTTTGCTTATCTGTTTGTGAGGTGAGTTTTTTCACTATATCCATGGGTCGAAGGCACCAATGTCGGCCCATTACTTGTTATGTGGAATGCTAGTTGTCTCTGTGATGCTTGCATGAAAGACCATGATATGGCCCCTGGTGATTGTATGAAAGACCAAGATCTGGCCCCTGGCACTTGTATGTAAGACCGGGATTTCTCCATCGGCATTGCAAGGAAAGACCATGGGAGTAGCCTATGGCACTTGTATATTTTTGGTATGTGGTATTTTGAGGAACTCACTAAGCTTTGTGCTTACAATTTATGTTTATGGTTTCAGGTACTTCCGATTCGAAAGGGAAGGGTCCGGCGTGATGGCACAGCATCCTCTCCTCATGATTTCCACATTTAAAATAATTGTACTCTGATGTTTTGAATATTATGACTTGATGTTGGTTTTAAACAATTAATGAATGATTTTATAGACTTTTAAATGAAATTTTTTATTACCATTTTCGAGACGTTACACTTGACAGTGGTTTTAGTGGTTTTCGATGTAAATGGTGGCGGCGTCAGCGATTTCCGATGGTGGTTTCCGGTGACGGTGGTAGTTTCCAGTGATTTATGTGGTTTACGTTCGCCATAGAGAGATAGTCTTAAAAGTGTGGTGCTTGGTAGATTATAAGTAAATATTGTAAACCATAAGGACCATTCGTATAATTTATTCTAAAAGTAGTTGTAGTGATGTGTCATGTTTTCATTGGTTCCATTATTTATGTCATATTCATCTATTATCTATTGAACCATATATATATATATATATATATATATATATATATATATATATATATATATATATATATATAT